CGCCTCTTGCCAAGACCCTCGCATTTACTTCTCTTACAACCCCATCTATAAATATATTAAACAACCACGGTGACATCACACATCCTTGTCTAAGGCCTACTTTTACTGGGAAAAAATTTCCCTCTTTCCTACATACTCTAACTTGAGCCTCACTATCCTCGTAAAAAAATCTTCACTGCTTTCAGTAACCTACCTCCTACACCATACACTTGCAACATCTGCCACATTGCCCCCCTATCCACCCTGTCATACGCCTTTTCCAAATCCATAAATGCCACAAAGACCTCTTTAGCCTTATCTAAATACTGTTCACTTATATGTTTCACTGTAAACACCTGGTCCACACACCCCCTACCTTTCCTAAAGCCTCCTTGTTCATCTGCTATCCTATTCTCCGTCTTACTCTTAATTCTTTCAATTATAACTCTACCATACACTTTACCAGGTACACTCAACAGACTTATACCCCCTATAATTTTTGCACTCTCTTTTATCCCCTTTGCCTTTATACAAAGGAACTATGCATGCTCTTCTGCCAATCCCTAGGTACCTTACCCTCTTCCATACATTTATTAAATAATTGCACCAACCACTCCAAAACTATATCCCCACCTGCTTTTAACATTTCTATCTTTATCCCATCAATCCCGGCTGCCTTACCCCTTTCATTTACCTACTGCCTCACGAACTTCCCCCACACTCACAACTGGCTCTTCCTCACTCCTACAAGATGTTTTTCCTCCTTGCCCTATACACTAAATCACAGCTTCCCTATCTTCATCAACATTTAACAATTCCTCAAAATATTCCTTCCATCTTCCCAATACCTCTACCTCTCCATTTAATAACTCTCCTCTCCTATTTTTAACTGACAAATCCATTTGTTCTCTGGCTTTCTTAACTTTTTTAATCTCACTCAAAACTTTTTCTTATTTTCAACAAAATTTGTTGATAACATCTCACCACTCTCTCATTTGCTCTCTTTTTACATTGCTCACCACTCTTTTAAACTTCTCTCTTTTTTCATATACTCTTCCCTCCTTGCATCACTTCTACTTTGTAAAAACTTCTATATGCTAACTTTTTCTCCTTACTACTCTCTTTACATCATCATTCCCCCAATCGCTCCTCTTCCCTCCTGCACCCACTTTCCTGTAACCACAAACTTCTGCTGAACACTCTAACACTACATTTTTAAAACCCACCCCATACCTCTTCGACCCCCTTGCCTATGCTCTCATTAGCCCATCTATCCTCCAATAGCTGTTTATATCTTACCCTAACTGCCCCTCTCTTTTTGTTTATAAACCTTACCTCTCTCTTCCCTGATGTTTTATTCTCCTTGTATCCCCTCTACCCTTTTTTCTCTCAGTGTAGCTACAACTAGAAAGTGATCTGATATATCTGTGGCCCCTCATTTAAAAATGTACTCCCGAAGTCTACTCAACAGTCTTTTATCTACCAATACATAATCCAAAAAACTACTGTCATTTCGCCCTACATCATATCGTGTATACTTATTTATCCTCTTTTTCTTAAAATATGTATTACCTATAACTAAACCCCTTTCTATACAAAGTTCAATCAAAGGGCTCCCATTATCATTTACACCTGGCACCCCAAACTTACCTACCACACCCTCTCTAAAAGTTTCTCCTACTTTAGCATTCAAGTCCCTACCACAATTACTCTCTCACTTGGTTCAAAGGCTCCTATACATTCACTTAACATCTCCCAAAATCTCTCTCTCTCCTCTGCATTCCTCTCTTCTCCAGGTGCATACACGCTTATTATGACCCACTTCTCGCATCCAACCTTTACTTTAATCCACTCAACAGACTTATCCCCCTATAATTTTTGCTCTCTCTTTTGTCCCCTTTGCCTTTATACAAAGGAACTATGCATGCTCTCTGCCAATCCCTAGGTACCTTACCCTCTTCCATACATTTATTAAATAATTGCACCAACCACTCCAAAACTACATCCCCACCGGCTTTTAACATTTCTATCTTTATCCCATCAATCCCGGCTGCCTTACCCCCTTTCATTTTACCTACTGCCTCACGAACTTCCCCCACACTCACAACTGGCTCTTCCTCACTCCTACAAGATGTTATTCCTCCTTGCCCTATACACGAAATCACAGCTTCCCTATCTTCATCAGCATTTAACAAATCCTCAAAATAATCCCTCCATCTTCACAATACCTCTAACTCTCCATTTAATAACTCTACTCTCCTATTTTTAACTGACAAATCCATTTGTTCTCTAGGCTTCCTTAACTTGTTAATCTCACTCCAAAACTTTTTATTTTCAACAAAATTTGTTGATAACATCTCATTTTTTAACAAGTCGGCCGTCTCCCACCGAGGCAGGGTGACCCAAAAAGAGAGAAAATCCCCAATAAGAAAATACTTTCATCATCATTCAACACTTTCAACTCACTCACACATAATCCCTGTTTTTGCAAAGGTGCTCAGAACACAACAGTTTAGAAGCATATACGTATAAAGAGATAACATATCCCTCCAGTCTGGAGAAGTGGAACAGAATTCTTCCTCCATAAGCCATGCGTGTTGTAAGAGGCGACTAAAATGCCAGGAGCAAGGGGCTAGTAGCCCCTTCTCCCGTATAAATTACTAAATTTAAAAAGAGAAACTTTCCTTTTTCTTTTTGGGCCACCCTGCCTTGGTGGGATACAGCCAGTGTGTTGAAAAAAAAAATATATGTGAACAGTATTTAGATAAAGTTAGGGAAGTTTTCATTGCATTTATGGGTTTAGAAAAGGCATATGATAGAGTGGATAGGGGAGCAATGTGGCAGATGCTTCAAGTATATGGAATAGGTAGTAAGTTAATAAATGCTGTGAAGAGTTTGTATGAGGATAGTGAGGCTCAGGTTAGGGTGTATAGGAGAGAGGGAGATTATTTTCCAGTAAAAGTAGGTCTTAGACAGGGATGAGTAATGCCACCATGGTTGTTTAATATTTTTATAGATGGGTTGTAAAAGAAGTAAATACTAGGCTGCTGAAGAGAGGGGTGGGATTAAATTATGGGGAATCAAATACAAAATGGGACTTGACAGTGTTACTTTTTGCTGATAATACTGTGTTTATGGGAGATTCTAAAGATAAGTTGCATAGGTTAGTGGACGAGTTTGGGAGGGTGTGTAAAGGTAGAAAGTTGAAAATGAACACAAATAAGAGTAAGGTGATGAGAATATCAAATAATTTGGATAAAGAAAAATTGGATATCACATTGGAGAGAGGGAGTATGGAAGAAGTGAATGTTTTCAGATATGTATTTGGGAGTTGACTTGTAAGCGGATGGTTTTATGAAGGATGACGTTAACCATGTAACTGAGGATGGAAAAAAGGCAAGTGGTACATCGAGATATCTGTGGAGAAAAAAAAAAAAGTTATCCATGCAGGCAAAGAAGGGAATTTACAAAAGTATAGTGGTACCAACACTCTTATATGGGTGTGAAGATTGGGTTGCAAATACTGCAGCGAGGAGGTGGCTGGAGGCAGTGGAGATGTCCTGTCTATGGGCAATGCGTGGTGTAAATATTATGTAGAGAATTCGGAGTGTGGAAGTTAGGTGGTGGTGTGGAGTTACTAAAAGTATTAGTCAGAAGGCTGAAGAGGGGTTGTTGAGGTGGTTTGGTCATTTAGAGAGAATGGATCAAAGTAGAATGACTTGGAGAGCGTATAAATCTGTAGGGAAAGGAAGGCGGGGTAGAGATCATCCTAGAAAAGGTTAGAGCGAAGGGGTAAAGGAGGTTTTGTGGGCGAGGGGCTTGGACTTCCAGCAAGCATGTGAGAGCACGTTTGATAGGAGTGAATGGAAACAAATGGTTTTTGGGACCTGACAAGCTGTCAGAGTGTGAACAGGGTAATATTTAGTGAAGGGATTGAGGGAAACTGGTAATTTTTATATAGCTGGGCTTGAGTACCAGAAATGGGAAGTATAATGCCTGCACTTTAAAGGAGGGATTTGGGACATTGGCAGTTTGGAGGGGTATGTTATATATCTTTATATATGCTTCTAAACTGTTGTGTCGGGGCACATCTGCAAAGACAGTGATTATGTGCGAGTTAAAGTTTTAAATGATGATGAAAGTATTTTCTTTTTTGGAGATTTTCTTTCTTTTTGGGTCAAACTGCCTCGGTGGGAGACAGTAGACATAGAGAAAAAAAAAAAGCTCTACAAGCACAGTATAGAACTTTGTCTGGATTTTTTGGGTTATCCTAGGCAATTTACACTATGTGTAATAACTATTTATGTGTATCTGTGAGACAGAGATATAGACAGAAAGACAGAGATACAGAGACAGGCAGAGATATGTAGCTACAGACAGAGACAGAGACAACCAAAGTCAATCAGCCACCTGACCTGCCAAACACGTATTACACGTTCTAGAATTGTTTCTCTTTACTTAGGGTACAGGTTATAGGACATTCTGGCAGGATGACACTACCAGTGGTATCAAAACTGAAAGGATGTTGCACAAATGTTGTGCATGGGTTATTATTGAGGTTTTTGATATTTCCTCCTCAACCACTTGTGGCCACATCCATCTCAAAGCCACTAAACTCGGAGTCAACATCACTTTCCTCTTAAAAGGGAAGTGTTAATACATGACATGATATCAGTGAATCCCTGGTGTTTGCCATGCTATTTGCTCTAGCTGGCACTCAATTGAACTGGTGCTCCCACAAGGTAGCAAGTGGTCCCAGAATTTTTTAATACTGCACACACCAAGTGTTAAGACCCATTCTATACTGACCAGGCATCTCCGGCCAATCATGCCAAATTTGGAGGCAGGAAAAATAAAAAGCTGATCAACGCTTGGAGCACTAGTGGTAAGAACGTAGATCTACGTTTGGACAGTTATGGGGTTAAACAGCTGGGTATGCTGATAATAAATACTGCAATCTTATTCTTTATAATAAAAAAAAAAAGAGTACTGTTTAATGAAGACAAGGTGCTCCTACTCACCCCCTTTTCTGCCAGAAGATCACGAAACTGTTTCATCCGAATCTCTAGGGGAACGATGGCTCGTTCACGAGCTGCTTTCACCTCTGCTTCAATTGCAGCTTCCTTCCCAATATCAATGCGTTTCACCTCTTCCTTCACATGCTGCTGACAATAAAAAAACACAACTATTAAGATACACATTTAAAAATTACAAATTAAATAACAAACACGTTTGATTATTTGTTGTTTCTATATATACGTTTGCATGCTAGTTGGTAAGGCAATCTTTTCCACTTTTAAAACTCTAAAGCTATCCACTAAACTTTTTCACAGCTGGCTACTTGTACATGGGTTGGAGCATCTATTAACAAACAGGGCTGTAAGTGAGCAAATAACACTCCACTATCTTCCCTATGTTTTCCTTTTACCAACTCCTACTTCACAGGTATTTGTGGATATGACACGGTTACTTTCTCTCTCTCTCTTCACAGGTATTTGTGGATATGACACGGTGACACGGTTACACACACACACACACACACACACACTCACACTCTCACACTCTCTCTCACACTCTCTCACACACTCTCTCACACACTCTCTCACACACTCTCTCACACACTCTCTCACACACTCTCTCACACACTCTCTCACACACTCTCTCACACACTCTCTCACACACTCTCTCACACACTCTCTCACACACTCTCTCACACACCCCTCTCACACACTCTCTCACACCCCTCTCTCACACACTCTCTCACACACTCTCTCACACACTCTCTCACACACTCTCTCACACACTCTCTCACACACTCTCTCACACACTCTCTCACACACTCTCTCACAACACTCTCTCACACACTCTCTCACACACTCTCTCACACACTCTCTCACACACTCTCTCACACACTCTCTCACACACTCTCTCACACACTCTCTCACACACTCTCTCACACACTCTCTCACACACTCTCTCACACCCCTCTCACACTCTCTCTCACACTCTCTCTCACACTCTCTCTCACACTCTCTCTCTCACACTCTCTCACACTCTCACACTCCTCCTCTCACACACTCTCTCACACCTCTCTCTCACACTCTCTCTCACACTCTCTCTCACACTCTCTCTCACACTCTCACACTCTCTCTCACACTCTCTCTCACACTCTCTCTCACACTCTCTCTCACACTCTCTCTCACACTCTCTCTCTCTCACACTCTCTCTCACACTCTCTCTCACACTCTCTCACATCTCTCACACTCTCTCACACTCTCTCTCACACTCTCTCTCACACTCTCTCTCACACTCTCTCTCACACTCTCACACTCTCTCTCACACTCTCTCTCACACTCTCTCTCACACTCTCTCTCACACACTCACACACTCTCACTCTCTCTCACTCTCACTCTCTCTCACTCTCACTCTCTCTCACACTCACTCACTCTCTCACACTCTCTCACACTCTCTCTCTCTCTCACACTCTCACTCTCTCTCTCTTCACGGTATTTGTGGATATGACATGGTTACTCTCTCTCTCTTCACAGGTATTTGTGGATATGACATGGTTACTCTCTCTCTCTTCACAGGTATTTGTGGATATGACATGGTCGGTCGGTCTCGGTCTCTCGGTCTCTCTCTCTCTCTCGGTCTCTCTCTCTCTCTCTCGGTCTCTCTCTCTCTCGGTTCTCTCTCTCTCGGTCCTCTCCTCTCTCGGTCTCTCTCTCTCGGTCTCTCTCTCTCGGTCTGTCTCTCTCTCTCGGTCTCTCTCTCTCTCTCTCGGTCTCTCTCTCTCTCTCTCGGTCTCTCTCTCTCTCTCTCTCGGTCTCTCTCTCTCTCTCTCGGTCTCTCTCTCTCTCTCTCGGTCTCTCTCTCTCTCTCTCGGTCTCCTCTCTCTCTCTCTCGGTCTCTCTCTCTCTCTCTCGGTCTCTCTCTCTCTCGTCTCGTCTCTCTCTCTCCTCTCTCGGTCTCTCTCTCTCTCGGTCTCTCTCTCTCTCTCGGTCTCTCTCTCTCTCGTCCTCGTCTCTCTCGGTCTCTCTCTCTCCTCGGTCTCTCTCTCTCTCTCTCGGTCTCTCTCTCTCTCTCTCGGTTCTCTCTCTCTCTCTCTCGGTCTCTCTCTCTCTCTCTCGGTCTCTCTCTCTCTCTCGGTCTCTCTCTCTCTCTCGGTCTCTCTCTCTCTCTCGGTCCGTCTCTCTCTCGGTCTCTCTCTCTCTCGGTCTCTCTCTCTCTCTCTCTCTCTCTCTCTCTCTCTCTCTCTCTCTCTCTCTCTCTCTCTCTCACACACCACAGTCAAAAACATTAAAACCAGAGACAGTTAAGGGATTCTATTTCATTAATAATTAAATAAGATAGAACTTCAGTATCTTGCATTAAACAAACCATATTAGGCTAAACACACACAATTCTTTCAAATGCTCATTTCAATATTTTACGATTATGCTATATTTATTAACCCTTAAACTGTCCAAATGTAGATCTACGTCCACATGCAGGGGGCTTCGAACGCAGATCTACTTTTTTTTTTACATGCTTTCAAATGGGGAAAATCAAGGTCGGAGCGCTACGCACATGAACGCAGATCTACTTTTGGACAGTTTAAGGGTTAATTACAGTGAATAGCAAAATATACTTAAGTTCAATGGTAACGTCTAAGTCTCATTTTTGCCCTTAAAAATGAAAATATCTAATTAATATTTGATATATGGTTAATATCTCAACTATACAATATCAGTTATTAAACTGTACAAATGTTAGAATTTTTCATGTCTAAATTTGAGTTACATAAGCAACATAAATTAATAAAGTTTGAAAAATACATGCTAATCTACCAAGAGTATTTCCAAAAACACCAATCTCAACGGAATACAAGCTGTGGAAGCTTCTTATAGCACTAAATGCATAAATGCTGGGTAAATAATCTCTATCATAATAAAAATTGCTATTAGCATAATTAAAGTGAGGAAACTGAGTAACAAATGCTGACTGACCAATTTATATTTCAGAGGTTTTCAAAACTTTTTAATTTTTTTAACACGTCAGCCATTTCCCACAGAGGCAGGGTTACCCAAAACGAAAAACACACTTAGGCATGAAGCATTCACACGATATGAAGTACATTTATTCACCTGATATCTAATATCAGTTGAAGAAAATTTCCTCAGTTTTTCTGAGAATAGGTTTCAAAATTATAATTTAAGATTAAAAAAAAACTACTGCATTAAAAGTATACATTACTATCAAACATGTTCATAAAATTACATAAATTATGCCATAAGTAAAATTACATGAACTTCAAAAGTTTCATTTATCAGAAAAAAAAATGAAAATCTTTTATGCTTATATATTAAAAGGTCAGTCTGCTTTTGAATTTGACTATTACTAAATAATGTATGAAATTGTTGTATACTGTACTTGTGATTAAATATGCATATACAAAATATGCAAATGGCTACAGGTCTTCCCTGTCATTAAGCTGAATATCAAATTCTTTCACCATAATGCACGATGTTTTTCTTATATTATTCCAGGAATTTTAGGACAAGCTCAAGGGAAAGCATAATTCATTCATTCACCTTTTGAAAGTACCATATCACATTTATTGGAAAAAAAAGTTTACGTATGAGAGAAAAAGGAAATATAACGCGTGTCTGCATTTCTGATTAAGTTACCTAAGGCTGGTACCAAAAGTATGGCTAAATTATCTATTGCAGTTGAAGAGCAGTGAATCCTAGAAGCAGCACCATGTGGTCAAAACGGGCACATTTCCTAGTGAGCCAACTAAATGCATCAAGTAAAATAAAAGCTGTACTTCTACAAAGAGCATGAAAAAAATGACATAGGACCACAGTGGGTACTGCCATGATGGGTGAAAGATATATATAAAAAAAAAAAAAGTGATTTCCTTTAAACACTCAGTACCAAATTCAATTATTAGTCTATCTTCATATTCATAGATATGTTAGTTAATACAAAATAAGGCAATTATTTTATATAAAAGCAACTACAGGTCCGCCATCACAAATCCGGCAATCAGTTATTCGGTTCCTTCAGTTATTCGGCACTAATTTCGGCTAGCATAATTTCAAATTTCCAGGGTCGCCACACCAACCTGCTGGTACTGTTTGGTGGTGCTACTTGCTGCGTAAATCAATTTCTTTTTCTCCATTTATTGTTATAACCTGCTTACTTTTAGCCCTAGCCATGGTTCCAATGAATAAAAGAAATACTTTTCGTTGTGTAAGGCACCTACACAGTACGTTGTCCATTAAAGATAAGGTGGCTTTGAAGCCACTGCTGGTTGCTATGAGCTCAGTCTCGTGATGCAGGGGAATATGCTTTATTATTATGCTAATATCAACACTACAGCTTATTCCCTATCACAATTGATCTAATATGACATAATAAACAATATAAATAACATATTAAATACTCCAGAATGAATAATATTTGGCATAATACTGAGCAGTTCGACGGAGGTATGAAGAGGATACGAGATACAAGTACCATTCTCCTATCCCTGTCTTGGAGGCTTCCATTAGAGAAAACGGAGTTTAACACAGGGCTGTGATATACACTCGTGCTGCACCATAAACCTGAAACAAAAAAGCTGTTTTCTCTATATAGATTATCACACACAGCAGCGTATGTGTAGAGAGCCTAGGATAACCCAAAAAAGTCAGACAACGTGGCTTACTTCTAGTACCTGGCTAGGCTTATTCATACATAATTTTTGGTAAATATTTGATTCCCAGCCAGGGTAGAAACATTGGGCGTGTTTCTTTACACCTGTTGTCTATGTTCAGCCATCAGTAAATGGGTACCTGGGTGTTAGTGGACTGGTGTGGGTGTTATGCTGGGACGCTGACCTAATTTGCTTGAAATACTCTGCATAACAAGTGGCTTTCTATACAGAAGTACAGTGGAACCTCTACTTGTGAGCGTGTCCACGTGCGAGTTTTTCCAAATATGAGCAGTTGATGGGTCGATTTTTTGCTTCCATACGCAAGCAAAATTTCCACAAGCGAGCAGACCTCAAGGCAGGTTCCTTGACACTGGTGAAGGGCTCTTGCTCTTGATCTCAGGAACTGTATCTCATTTGTTTGTTGGACTATCTTACTGAAACTTGGGCAATGTATGATGGAAAGATGCTTCTTAACGTACACCA